CGACGCGCCCTTCGGGGGTTTCTGCCATAAAGCATTCCTGGGAAGGGTGATGACTCCCCCTGCTGGAGGCAGAGCTAGAGGACAATCCTGGCTCCTCCGTGAGGAGCTTGTGGAGAGACTCCGTGTCATGTTCAATTACCCCCACGAACTCGCTGTCCGCGGGCGGCTGAACCATGCGTAGTGCCACAAGGTGGCCAGCGGTTGCCACGGCGTTGCGGAGATCGAACGGAAACGCTGTCGGGGCGCTCCACACGTGGCATTCCGGAGAGAAGAGCTCCTCTCCGGAAGGCCATGCCACGTCATTGTCGTCGAAAAGGGCGAGGCGATGCTGGTTCTCCCTGGACTGCTGGGGTCCAAGGGAGACGCCGAGCTGGCGCCCAAGCCTCTCGTGGTTGAGGCCGATGGAGGGGAGAGATTGGAGGGCGGTGTGCGCCCGTACCAACTCTCCTCCCACCGTGATGACGAAAATCTAGGCTCCCAAAGCGCACGTGTGCGCCTGGGACCCAGCTGACGTTGTGGATTTGCCATCCGTGGGCTAGTTTGGAATGCGCAAAGGCCCCTACCTGGCGCGTCAACTGTCGATGTTTCAAACAAACACCGGCTAGTAAATTTATATTTATGCGCGTTAGATCCGGATGGTGCGCTAAAGGACACAAGGTTTATACTGGTTCGGGCTAAATGTCCGTACGTCCAGTCTGTTGCTGCTCGTGTTATTAGCACCGAAAATGGTTCATAGTAGGGGGTACAAATGATCGAGAGAGGGACTGGTCCTAGGTCTCTGATGGAAGGGGTCGAAAGGATGTCAAGAGCCTGGTGGCGGCCTGGTTGTGTGCGTGATGTGTCGAACCGAACTCTCTATGAGTTTGTCTGTGTGTGAGTTATCCGTCAAAAGTCGGTCCCTTCAGTGGGGAGCCCTACCCTCCCTTTTATAAACCAAGGGGAGAGCAGGGGTTACAGATGGGAGAAAGAGAAAAATACCAAGGGTATAGGAGGTCCTTCGAAGGATCCGGGTCTTCCTTTTTTTCCCGCGCACCCTGCTTAACATGGCAGACCGTGTCAGAAGTGGCGTGTTTGTCGATCTTCGTAGGCCATGCCCTGGCCCCATTTAGCAATTGGGTGCGTCCCATCCCATGCCGGCGGACGGTGCGGCGCATGCTAGAGAGCCGAGTAGTGACCCCTCGGGGAGTAATCGGGGAAGCAACAATATGTCCGTTACTGTAGATGATGTGAGTTCTGTCTTGGACCGTAGCGGTTGTTGTATGCCGGTGTTAGTATCCGCGCTCGAGGATTGAAGGCGGCGCCTACTACACTGTGGGACAAAAGCCGACGCCCTCAATACTATTTGGGCACTGTTATGAGGAAAAGGGCTTTAAAGCGCCCGTCCCATCGTGTTCTAACGGTGCCTTCCTGCAGTCGCATAGGGCATGACCCTTTACATCGTGGTTGAATCGTACGTCCTGTAGTACCCCATGTTTCGTCTTTAGGAAGGATCAGAGTGCAGTCGTGGGGCAAGGCGGAGCTAGCCTTTAGTTGTCGAGTGAGGTCGAACCCGCCCTCGGGCGTCGGGCGAGGCGGAGTCTTGATTTTGGCCGTCGGGCGAGGCGGGGCCCGCCCTCAGCCCTCGGGCGAGGCGGTGCCGGCCCTCAGCCGTCGGGTGAGGCGGAGCTGGCCCACGAGCGTCGAGCGAGGCGGAACCAAACTCCCGTCGTTTGGGCAAGAAGCGTAGTAGTGCTCTTGTCCGTCCGGGAGTGTCTAATTTCGATAGTTTTTAGTTCCACCTCCTTGGGTACTCCGATATTAAGTCCCCGACAATAGCTTTCTTTTTTTTTGGAAAGTTATAAAGTTATACTAGTTATACTAACAACTTTTATATATAACTTGTGGAACAAACTTCAACGTATAACTTATACACATGACTTCAACGTATACATTCAACATGACAAAGTTACGCACATAACTTATTACGTGACAAAGTTATACGCATAACTTTTATATATAATATTTTTTGGAACAAATTTATCAACATAATTTGTTACAAAGTTACAAAAATTATACACAAACTTTTATGTATAACGTAGATATATAATTTGATAAATGACTTAAATGCAAAGTTGGACATATAAGTTATATTCAAGAACTTAAATGTACAAATTAATATCATAACATGGTAGAAATGTAAAAAACTATTAGTATAATTTATAAATATATAACAAAAAAGAGAGAAAAATGATAGAAAAAACAAAAAAAGGAAGAAGAAAAAAATGAAGATTCGTGCATGTGTAGTCATACCACCGAACGAATCCAACCAGTAAAAAGTTATTCAATACAACTTATGTGTATAAATTGTAAGTTATAAGTTATATGTCATAAGTTAATGCACATAAATTGCTACTAGAAAAATTTTCGAAACATATGCAGTGAGGTCTAGTTTTGTTCGACTCGTCGCGTAGTACATACCGGTGCAGACAAAATTTAAAACGAATACAAGTTATAGCATTTTGAAATAAATATATTGTATTTTTAAGTGACGTCACGGCAGTTGGCATGGGTTATGTTGGTCTGATTGTTCGCTGGAACGAGAACGAGTGAACGACCGTGGCAATGGATTCTGGCACGGACTGAGCTAATCTGGACGGACTTTTAGTCTGAGTATGAATTTTCTATTACTTTTTACCCGTACCACTCTTAATTAATGCATAATTTCATTTTTTGTTTCATAGATATCTAATTCCACGACTCATCTAGAGTTGGAAACCGAGCCAAACATAAAACTCACTTCTTCTCAAACTTCTTAGAAACGTTGCCATATATCATTAAAAGTACTGAGAAACTGATCAAACTCCAATAAGACTAGCAGTACAATCTAGAGGCTTTGATTTTGAAACAGTCGTCAATTGTCGTTGCCACGGCACATCAACAACTTGATCGACTGAACCGGCAGGGAGGGAGCAGGGACCCACGATTTCTGAACCCTGCAGTGGGTTAGTTACTTAGCCCTATTCGTTTATCTAGTAATCCGTTTTTTTAGCTTGTTTTTTTAATTGAAACATTGTTTTTCTCTCGCAACAAATCAACCGGAACAGTGTTTCAGCTTGTTTTTTCAGCGAAGCGAACGGAGCCTTAATTTAGCATGATGTTTCAGGTTGCAGCTCCATGAGCGAGCATGCTCAAAGTATGAAACAGGTTCAGTAGTTTCAGGGTTCGGTAGGATGCTTTTTATACTGGTATAAGAGTAGACTGCTGTTGGGTAGTGAGATAGGACACATGCCTGCAGGTTTACTGATTGACTGGTGGCCTGATCATGATGCTACGAGAGGAGCCGTGCAATTCCAGCAGGTACAGCTGCTTGGAGATTGCTTGGACCTAGCACAATATGGTTAGTTAACCTAACGGCGGCGACGGAGACTAATTACAGGAAGAGTAACCCATTAAACAAGTGCGTTCTGTGTGATCAGTGGCTATATCTCAGTCGTCACATGCTTGGTGGGACGTTTTTGTCACTGATCGGCCAACAAACGGACGATCTCGTCGTATGAATTTTCTGATCAAATGGCATCAGTCACAAGGGCGGCAAAAGAAGCCATTCTCGAATTGCTAGTAGTAATCAGCACCGGGCAAATGTTAAGGTAGCAACGTAACGGGCCAACTACTTGATACAAACCAGCGGATTGGAGTGGACGACCTGTAAACCTATGTTTAATATGCTGCTCTCTCTCTCTAGGCGCGGCACGAACAGACGTCAAAAGAGCTCCTTTGCTGCTGCACTGTAGCCGTGGCAGGGGCAGGCGTCGAAAGGCTCCCTTTGCCGCATCTGTAGCCACAGCAGGGGCATGCACCAAAGTCAGTCATGCTGTCACATCTAGTCACTGTAGCAGCATGACAACCTGGCATGTCTGTGTACTAGGATTAGATGGGTAGAGTTGTATATATAGCTTCCCACTGAAACTCAGTAAAGTTGAGAGAGTTTAGTTTTGCCATCTCCTCTGTAGAACTCCGGCCAACGCTGGTGCTTGTGTTGTGTGTGTGAGCGCGCGCTCTGTTCTCTCTTCCTTTTTCTACCTATAGCCATAGTGAGTGTGAACGTCAGTGACCGGTCGGCTCACGGCTCACCCGTATGGGAGATCTCGGGACCAACACTTTCAACTTCAGAAAAGGCAGCTCATGAACTCTGAACTCTTGATAACAATTCAAGTTTGGTTTCAGGACAGTAGTGCATCACTGCATATGATCGTTGCCTTGTATTGCACTGTCATGTAGTATGTAAAATCATGAATGCGTTTGTTTCAAAAAAAAAACTCATGAATGCGTCACCGTATTGTCTTTTTCAGTTAAATTATGAAGCTAGGGTGAGGTGAGACGACACTGTCGTCTGAAAACAACCTTCAGGGAACAAGACGACAGCAGAGCCAATGCATGTGTGAAGTCCAATTAACGCGTTACTTTTATCACTTACTTCCAACAACTACGTAAAGAAAACCATCATGGAGAAGAAAAGGTATACCTCAAATCGAGTCCTGAACAATGCTTAAGTAATGCATCAGCTGTACTATCCAAGGCAAGGTTTATTTCTTCAGTTAGTGGGCGGAGCGCGACCGCCCATCTCCATCGCATGTCCTCTTGAACGAAGCCAATTTTAATACTGCATCATCATCAGCTGCTTAATGATCATTATTCACGACCACCAGCACAACGCGATTCTCGATTAATTAATCAAATGATCGAATCGGAGCTAGCTAGCTTCCAACTCACGCTCTCTGCTAACCTCATGTTCCTGCCTCGCGAGGCCAGCAGCAACTTTGTACCGGATCCAGCCTAGCACAAGTCAAAGCGTCACTGCGTATATATAAAGTCCTAAGCTTTGCTTGCTCCTGCGCTGAGCACTAGCTTTGCGCATTCTGAACATTGCAAGCTTAATGCTCGGCTTCGTGTGGTTTTCAGGGCAATCATCACGTTGTTTCCAGTGAAATTCCTGCCGCCGCATAAAGCTACCGCTTTTGCTTATGGATCCCAAGCAGCAGCAGCAGCTCGCTCTGCGGCCCATCTCCACCAGGAGAGCCGGCAGCGTCGCCGGCGAGGTGGCCGCGGCGATGGAGCGGTCGAGCCTGGCCACCGCGTCGTTCCGGGTGTACTACAGCCTGCGCCCCGGCGCCGTGCCGTTCCTGTGGGAGTCCAAGCCCGGCACGCCCAAGAGCGGCGGCGGCGGCGCCACGGCTGCCGTGTCGCCCGCGCCCGCCGAGATGGTGGCGGCTCATCAACATCAACTCCCGCCGATATCGCCGCCGCCGCCGTACCACTCATCCCAGCTGAAGAAGGGGAGGAGGTGCCGGCCGAGGGCGTCGTGCCAGGCGGCGGCTGGCCTCGTGAGGGCGCTGCTCGCCGTGATCGGCATCAGGAGGAGGTCGCATCGGCGCCCACCAGCGTCGCTTGGTTGAGCTCATGTCGAGTCTTGTTTGCCGCGCGCTTACTGCACAGCCGCACAGGGACATCAAACTCGTACAAATAACGTTATACATACACATACACTATACTATATACTACTATACCGTGGTACATAGCTAATTCTGTTTTTGCAATAGATAGTTTAATTTCTTATATCGTGCTCTCTCCATTCTAAATATTAAGTCATTTTGATTTTCTTTACATCGAATTTGCTATTTATTTAGACATACGTCCTATCTTGATACATAGTAGATTCAATGTAAAAAAAAGGTCAAAACAACTTATAATTTGGAACCTAGAAATTATATGTGCATTAGCTGTGATTAAATTCTCCTTTGTATTCAAATCTAAGTGTTTTATGCAATTCCAATACATGATTTTTTTTACCATAAGATTAAGATCCAACAGCCTCCATCCTTCTTCTACCTCTAGCCTTCTTCTACCTTCAGACAATCACAAGATCACAGATCCACAGATTACAGATCACAATTTTTTTCTATGGAAGGACAAATCACAGATAGGCCACCGCCGCCGTGGATGAGGAGTGGGGCAAGTAGCACGGCCGCCGGACCACGAAGGGAAGCAGCGCGCTGCCGGTCGGGGAAGTGGCTGGGCCGCGCCGCCGCCGGTCAGGGAAGGGGCCGGACCGCGCCGTCGGCGGTTGGAGGGTCGACGCCACGGGAGGCGGCTGGTCGTCGTCGTCGCAGCTACCATCAGTGAGAGGAGGGGCGTCGCAGGCTCGCAGCTGGCTCCGACAAGGGAGGGGCCCTGCCGCCACCGAATCCCACCTCGTGGTCGTGGAGGGCGCCGCCACCCAGATCCACAAATGGCGGAGGCGGGATGACGGGGATGCATGCAGGTGCGGAGACCGAGAGGGAGAGGACGGGAGAGGAAGAGGGATAAAATAATCCATGTGTTTTTTTCTGCTAAAACGCATGTGTGTTGTATAACATTTCTATATATAATAGTATTTTTTTCTTAAGAAAAAGAAAAAAAATTAGTGATGACAGTTCTTATAGGGAAGCACCCGACATGGATTATTCACGACACATTCTCCATATATGAGCATCCAAGAAACAGTCGAAAAGAAAAACTTCTACATAAAATTAGAGAAATGATATACGATATTCGACACGATTTTATTGCCACTCAATTTTAATGTATGCGATTATATCTTTTTTTTAAGATGTCACCGGCAAGGTGAGAGCCCTACATAAATGATTTTCCATTGATACCAGGCAAGCCATGTCGAGCACCTAATACATGGGTGAGAGCCCTACCTAAATGATTTTCCATTGATACCGGCAGGTGAGAAGTACATGAATGGGAGATATAGACATATATCTATGTATATAAGCATCCATCGATACGCTGTTGTATCTTGCTATTGCATTTGGTTTTGACCGGATCAAAGTGATTATAACCGGGTCTAGTTGAAATTGGTTGCTGAGGGGGTTTGGTTTAAACTGAGTTTGGTTATTGGGCCAGGTTCGAACTAGGTTCTAACTCGGTTTAAATGGTTTTTGTGACTGGTTTAAACTAGGTTTGATTTCAAAAAGGTTCAAATTGGTTTCTGACCTGATTTGAACCGGATTTGGTTGGAACTAGATACTCCTTGGCCTGGTTGGATCTGATTCTAAGTGTTCTAGGTGTTGCTTGGTCTAATTGAGACGCGACGCTGCTAGGTATGGTTCCAACCGGGACTAACAACCCTTAAATAAATTTATACATCCGACATTCTCTAACTCGTGTGTCACATTCATAAAAGAAAACTTGATTTTTGTTGGCTTTCGTTTTCAGTTGTCTCTGTGGATCCTGACAACTGAGTGCTACTTACCTCTAAAACACTCGAATATAAGGCAGACAACCTTCTAAATCTGCATAAGAAACATAATTATCTCTTGCATTGGATGCTTATATACATAGATATATGTCTATATTTGCGGCAGGTGTTCACGGGTACTCATGAGGACTATTCCCATAAATTTTCTCTAGAAAAAACACGGTAGTTTTTCTTCTTCTTCTTCTTCTATTTTTTAGACAAAAGAATTACTTGTTAGGCCAGTCTCAATAGAGAGTTTTATGACGTTGTTTTGAAGACTTTCATGTTATTTAGAATGAAATGAAGCATGAATGAAACACTCACTTTTAATAGAAAGTTTCATTCTATGGTTTCATAGACATTTTAATTCCATGGCTCATAAAGAATTGTTAATCGTGCTAAGAGAGTTTCATCCCCGTGAAACTCACTTTTTAAAAACGTTGTTATATCATCAAAATTGCTTATGTGGCAGTTTATTAAATACAAATGAAAGTCTCGTAAAACTCCCGCTAAGACTTCTGCTTTCTCTCCGGTTTTGCGCTCAACAAGTCAGCTGTGGGCCCAATAGCAGAGTTGCACGTTGTGACTGGGCCCTAACGTCAATTGCACGACGGGCCTTTCTGATTTGGACAGTTAGGCCTTTCTTTTCTGGGTGACGAAGCTTGGGCTAGAAAACCCAGCCCAAGCAGCCCATAACGCATTGCGTTGTACAAATACGGTGTTCAATAGCTGATTGTCCTCAAAAAAAAAAAAATACGGTGTTCAATACGAATTTGCTTTTTGAAAGGAAAAAATGCATTTTCCATTTTATAAAATATTATTACTGTAAGACCCAGTTCATGGACCGAATATAATAGTACTGTAGCACCGAGTGGGACCGGGTCATAATCGAGTTACTGTAGGGCGGATACTGTACACGTGTGCTGTAGCATCACGGAGCACTGTTCGCCTGAGGGTTAGTACTCGAATTGAGGGATGGTCGAACCAGCTTAAATAGCAAGGCTAAGGACGCGTAGTAATCTTCGGTTAACCGTTTTTCGCAAAGTGAGGTCGAAAGCTCAAGCAGGTTGCTACATAGGTGTTTCAATTACCTCTAGCAAAACATGTGCGTGTAGGGACATGGGTGTTACAATTACTTACTTGCAAAACATGCCCGTGTGTAGAAACAGGACGTACAATTTATCTTACGGTGCTCATATCAATAATAATAGGCTAGCTATTTGTTTTGTTGGATTTAGTTGTGCCTCGTCTAACCTGAGATCAAATAATTTCAAGGTTCGTAACAAATGTTAGAGCAATAAAAAACTAATCATGCATGGGAAATTAGCAGGAGATTGCCTCAACTTCAATATGTGGTTATTGTGTGCACTTGTATTGTGAGTCTAAGAAATCTGAAAAGTGAGCTACACATATCTTGCACATGTCGCAACACGAATAGACTCAGACAACCAAACCATAAGTGGGTGGTGTCAGCAAAAGTTAGGCTCCATAGCCAAGTGAAACAAGTTGAAGTGAGTGAGGTCTAAGCGAGAAATGAAATAAAATAAAGAAATATTTACTCTTTAATATTATTTAATATTATATATAGGTATAGATGTAAATACAGATTTCATATACCTTAAAAATTTTAGGACATTGCAACGTATGCACAATAACAATAAATTTTAATTGAAAATAAGAAAAGCGGTATTGAAATTTTTTAAAAGTTGATGGTTTAGACTTAGGCGAGGCTAACAAGCTACAGTGACATGCACAGGATGAAACCCGGCCAACTTTGTGGTCTAAAAGCCCAGGAATTGAGTGGCTACAAGCCTGAAATTACGGTTCATCGGTCAAGACGTTTTTCTTTCCCCAACTACAACGGAGTCCATAGTCGAAATAAGATCAAGCGATCCGTTATACAAAAGGCAATGACTTACACGAATTTCACAGCAGGGCTCATGCCTCTGTCGTCTCCGATCCTCCCTCCGTGACGACAACCGTACACACCACCCCAAGTCATATAGAAGCGCCTCCACGAGCGCCCTCCTCGCAAAACGTCATTCCAGGAGCACGAGCACCCTGAGTCCGCCAACTCGCCATCATTGGGGATGGCAACGGGTCAGGTGAGACGCGGGTGGAGCAAAAACCCGTCCGCGATGAGACCCGCAACAAGCAGTTGCATCCGCTCGCGATGAGACCCATGGGTAAGAAATCACACCCGCACCCACAGGTCGCCCGTCCTGTTTCGGGCACCCATCAGGTCTGCCACAATAGAACAATGATACATTATTATGAATTATGAATATATATATAAAGTTGGAAAATAACAATTTAATATACATAAATCTATAAAACCATGTTGCATAGTAGAACACGTCAAAAGTTCATATTTTACATCAAAACCATTATTACTACCTCCACAGCTTCACGACTTGACATGCTGTATCACAGCACAAACAAAAAGGAAAAAAATAAAGAAAACAGATCAGTACCCACAGCTGCAGTTGAAGAGCCGAAGGGGGTGCATGACGCGAATGCCAGTCACTGGCCCTTGGACCTCACGGCCTCACCACACCTGCACAGCCACTGGCGGAGCACGAACTGCCCTCGCGCGGATGGTCACCAGCATGGTCGCGCGGATCTAGCTGTGGTCGGCTGAGCTACCGGCACCGGGACTCCGAGTGCGAGGGGCGGAGCTGGTCCCTGCGGGTGGCGACAACGATGCTGGCACTCCGGATGCGAGGGTGTCGGAGGTACTCCCTGCGTGGTGGCGACAAACGACTCCGGCGCTCCGGGGATCGAGGCGCTCGACGATTCTTCGTCGAGTATGTGCTACGGAGTAGTACGTGCTAGCTCAAAGCCGTCCGATCAGGTGTCAAGTCCAAGTTGTATTTTGCTTTTCAAACTTCCTTCAAGGACCCTGGACCAATCTAGCTACGTGTTCCAGACGGAATCTAGTCCGCACAAGCGCTGCTGACGCTAGTTGATTTTCTGTTGCCCGCTTGCTTCCTTTCTTTTAATCATGTATGTATGAACACGATCAGCTGTCAAGCAAAATAAGTGATACGTGATGTACCAGGACCTGGAATCTTCCAAATCCAATACCCAGCCAATAATCGATCCTTTACTGCTTCACGTGATATTAAGCAATTCGACTTCAATTCATTGTTTCAGCACGTCAATCCTACC